AAAACCCTTGGAGAACCCCAAAAAAACCTTTGAAAAACCTTGACAAAGCTTTGGAAAACATTCAGAAAACCTTGGTAAACCTTTGGAAAACCTTCAGAAAACCTTGGAAAACCCTTGGAGGACCCCATAAAACCTTCGGAAAACCATGGAAAAACCTTGGAGAACCCCATAAAACCTTCAGAAAACCTCAAGAAACCTTCATAAAACCCCATAAAACCTTCAGAAAACCATGGAAAACCCTTGGAGAACCCCATAAAAACCTTTGAAAAACCATGACAAACCTTTGGAAAACCTTCTGAAAACCTTGGTAAACCTTTGGAAAACCTTCAGAAAACCATGGAAAACCCTTGGAAAACCCCATAAAAACCTTTAAGAAAATCTTGGCAAACCCTTGGAGAACCGCATAAAACCTTCAGAAAACCATGGAAAACCCTTGGAGAGCCCCATAAAGCCTTCAGAAACCTCAAGAAACCTTCTGAAAACCACGAAAAACCCTTGGAAAACCCCATAAAAACCTTTGGAAAACCTTCGCAAACCTTTGGAAAACCTTCAGAAAACCTTGGTAAATCCTTGGAGAACCCCATAAAACCTTCTGAAAACCATGGAAAAACCTTGGAGAAGCCCATAAAAACCTTTGAAAAACCTTGACAAACCTTTGGAAAACCTTCTGAAAACCTTGGTAAACCTTTGGAAAACCTTCAGAAAACCATGGAAAACCTTTGAAGAACCCCATAAAACCTTCTGAAAACCATGGAAAACCCTTGGAGAACCCCATAAAACCTTTGGAAAACCATGGAAAACCCTTGGAGAACCCCATAAAAGCTTCGGAAAACCTCAAGAAACCTCCATAAAACCCCATAAAACCTTCGGAAAACCCCAAAAACCCTTCATAAAACCTTCAGAAAACGGCAGAAAATTTGGGATTTTTGTGGAATTTCGCGGAACGCGGCGAGTTTGCCGTACCGGTGTAGCCGATCTTCTCGAAGCTGAGCAGGCTGAAGATGCTGTTGTAGAGCTGCATCTCCTTCTTGCGCGTTTGGTCCATCTCGTCCAGGATCTCCATCAGCTCGTTGCCCGTCTTGGTGGGGTGCGAGCACTCGGCCTCGTGCACCGAGAGCTCGTGGAACGGGCCCTGCCACGGGCACCCGATGCGCTTGTACTTGCACTGCGTCACCCTGCGGGGGGAAAAACGGGAATTTTGGGGATTTCGGGGGGTTTCGGGGGGGTCCGCGGGAAATCCGGGAGGAACGGCGGGGAGAGGAGAGGGGAGTTTGGGATGGAAAGGGAAAATCGGGGAGGAAAATGGGAATTCAGAGGGGGAAATTTGGGAGGAAAGTGGGAAAATTTGGGAGGAAAATGGAAATTCAGAGTGGGAAATTTGGGAGGAAAGTGGGAAAATTTGGGAGGAAAATGGAAATTCAGAGTGGGAAATTTGGGAGGAAAATGGGAAAATTTGGGAGGAAAATGGAAATTCAGAGTGGGAAATTTGGGAGGAAAGTGGGAAAATTTGGGAGGAAAATGGAAATTCAGAGTGGGAAATTTGGGAGGAAAGTGGGAAATCTGGGATGGAAATGGGAATTCAGAGGGGGAAATTTGGGAGGAAAATGGAAAAATTTGGGAGAGAAATGGAAAATCAGAGTGGGAAATTTGGGAGGAAAATGGGAAAATCTGGGAGAAAAATGGAAATTCAGAGTGGGAAATTTGGGAGGAAAGTGGAAAACCGGAGAGGGGAATTTGGGATGGAAATGGAAAATCGGAGTGGGAAATTTGGGAGGAAAATGGGAAAATTTGGGAGGAAAATGGAAATTCAGAGTGGGAAATTTGGGATAAAAGTGGAAATTCTGAGTGGGAAATTTGGGATAAAAATGGAAAATAAAGAGTGAAAATTTGGGACGAAAATGGAAAATCTGGGAGAGAAGCAGAAAGTGAGAGTGGGAAATTTGGGATAAAAACAGAAAATCTGAGAGGGAAATTTGGGATGGAAATGGAAAATACGGGAGAAAATGGAAATTAAGAGTGGGAAATTTGGGAGAGAAATGGAAAAGCAGAGTGGGAAATTTGGGACAGAAATGGAAATCCAGAGTGGGAAATTTGGGAGAGAAATGGAAAAATTTGGGAGAGAAATGGAAAATCCAGAGTGGGAAATTTGGGAGGAAAATGGAAATTCAGAGCGGGAAATTTGGGATGGAAATGGAAAAGCAGAGTGGGAAATTTGGGATGGAAATGGAAAATCAGAGAGGGAAATTTGGGAGAGAAATGGAAATTCAGAGTGGGAAATTTGGGAGGAAAGTGGGAAAATTTGGGAGGAAAATAGAAATTCAGAGTGGAAAATTTGGGAGGAAATGGAAAATCTGGGAGAAAATGGAAATTCAGAGTGGGAAATTTGGGAGGAAATGGAAAATCTGGGAGAAAATGGAAATTCAGAGTGGGAAATTTGGGAGGAAATGGAAAATCTGGGAGAAAATGGAAATTCAGAGTGGGAAATTTGGGAGGAAATGGAAAATCTGGGAGAAAATGGAAATTCAGAGTGGAAAATTTGGGAGGAAATGGAAAATCTGGGAGAAAATGGAAATTCAGAGTGGGAAATTTGGGAGGAAATGGAAAATCTGGGAGAAAATGGAAATTCAGAGTGGGAAATTTGGGAGGAAAATGGAAAACCGGAGAGGGAAATTTGGGATAAAAGTGGAAATTCAGAGTGGGAAATTTGGGATGGAAATGGAAAATCTGAGAGGGAAATTTGGGAGAAAAGTGGAAATTCAGAGTGGGAAATTTGGGAGGAAAATGGGAAAATTTGGGAGAGAAATGGAAAATCTGGGAAAGAGAAAGGTGGAAAAGCCGGGGCAGGACCACGCCCACCCATCACCCGTCCTGGCACTGCTGGTGCTGCTCTAAGGAACATCTCAAGAACTTGGAGGTGTCCCACCATCCCAAAACGACCAAAAACAGCCCAAAACCATAAAACAGCGCCCCAAAACCCAAAAAAGTCCCAAAAATAACCAAAAAAATCCCTGATCTCTCCTGGCACTCCTGATGGAGCTCTAAGGAACATCTCAAGAACTTGGAGGTGTCCCACCATCCCAAAACGACCAAAAACAGCCCAAAACCATAAAACAGCGCCCCAAAACCCAAAAAAGTCCCAAAAATAACAAAAAAAATCCCTGATCTCTCCTGGCACTCCTGATGGAGCTCTAAGGAACATCTCAAGAACTTGGAGGTGTCCCACCATCCCAAAACAACCAAAAACCAGCCCAAAACCATAAAACAGTGCCCCAAAACCCAAAAACATCTCAAAAAAGATGAAAAAAATCCCAGATCTCTCCTGGCACACCTTCCCATCGTCCTCTAAGAAAGATCTCAAGAACTTTCAGGTGTCCCACCATCCCAAAACTGCCAAAAACCACCTCAAATCCACCAAAAACCACCAAAAACCACCAAAACCCACCCCAGAACCCCAAAATATCTCCAAAAACTCAGAAAAAAACCCCATCCTGTCCTGGCACTCCTCCTTCTGGTGCCGCTCCAAAGTTCTCAAGAACTTTGAGGTGTCCCACCATCTTGAAACCACCAAAAACCACCTCGAACCCGCCAAAAACCATCCCAGAACCCCAAAATCTCTCTGACCTGTCCTGGCACTCCTTCTCATCGTCCTCTAAGAAAGATCTCAAGAACTTTCAGGTGTCCCACCATCCCAAAACCACCTCAAAACCACCAAAAACCACCTCGAAAGTGCCAAAAACCACCCCAGAAACCCAAAATCTCCCTGACGTCTCCTGGCTCTACTTCTCATCATCCTCCAAGAAAGATCTCAAGAACTTTCAGCTGTCCCACCATCCCAAAACCACCTCAAAATACCCCAAAACCACCAAAAACCACCTCGAAACCACCAAAAACCACCCCAGAACCCCAAAAAATCCCCGAGCTGTCCTGGCACTCCTTCTCATCATCCTCTAAGAAAGATCTCAAGAACTTTCAGGTGTCCCACCATCCCGAAAATGGCAAAAACCACCTCGAAACTACCAAAAACCACCCCAGAACCTCTTTTTTCCCCTGTCTTGTAGATGTTTGTATATCTGCCAGAAACAAATAGTCCTACCCAAGCCGGAGGGAGAAAAACATTGGGCCCCAGTCCTGGATTGTAATCAGGGAGACCTTACACAGATTCAGGAGAGTCTTCACACTGATCCATCCAGCTTCCAGACTTGGTGCCGAATACAAAAAAATAGCGAAGATACACTGCCAATGTCTAGGTCTGTTTTACCTGCAGCTCTCCCCTCACAAAGACACCATGCAATTCTTAACATAACTTAATTGGGTTTCTAACAAAGCCCTCCAAGGAAAGGAAATATTTTTCTTTCTAATGCCAAAAAGAGCAGAATAATCTACTTGCGATCACCAGCAACTCAATCATGAGATGGTTAGCTCCATGAGGAGATCTAAGAAGGACAGTAAGACTAAGGACAACCAGCATCAGAAGACACTCTTCCAGAAGTAACAAACACAGCGCCTTCTACACCTAATGCTCTAACCCTTATGGCACACACCAATTCTGAAAACAACCAAGCCAGCTGCTGGCACTCCTTCTCATCATCCTCTAAGAAAGATCTCAAGAACTTTCAGCTGTCCCACCACCTCAAAACCACCTCAAAACACCCCAAAACCACCAAAAACCACCTCGAAACCACCAAAAACCACCCCAGAACCCCAAAATATTTCCAAAAACTCCCAAAAAAACCCCGACCTGTCCTGGCACTCCTCTTTCTGGTGGCGCTCCAAAGATCTCAAGAACTTTGAGGTGTCCCACCATCCCAAAACCACCTCAAAACACCTCAAAACCACCAAAAACCACCCCAGGACCCCAAAACACCTCCAAAAACCCCCCGACCTGTCCTGGCACTCCTCCTTCTGGTGGCGCTCGAGCAGCGAGCGGGGGAACTGGCGGGCGCAGAAGCCGCACTCGGCGGGCAGCTCGCTGACCGCCTTCTCCACGGCCACATCCCACCAGCTCCAAACCAGCCCAAAACCTCCAGAAAATCCACAAAAATCCACAAGAAATCCCAAAAGTCACATCCAGCACCATTGCCATCCATCACCTGCTCTCCCGCTGCTTCTGGTGCTGCTCTAAGGAAGATCTCGAGAACTTTCAGGTGTCCCACCATCCCGAAAACGCCAAAAACCAGCCCAAAACAGGCAAAACCCACCTCAAAACCACCAAAAACCACCCCAGGACCCCAAAATTTCCCCGACCTCTCCTGGCACTCCTTCTCATCATCCTCTAAGAAAGATCTCAAGAACTTTCAGCTGTCCCACCATCCCGAAAATGGCAAAAACCACCCCAAAACCACCAAAAACCACCTCAAAACCACCAAAAACCACCCCAGGACCCCAAAAACTCCCCGACCTGTCCTGGCACTCCTCCTTCTGGTGCCACTCCAAAGATCTCAAGAACTTTTGAGGTGTCCCACCATCCCGAAAATGGCAAAAACCACCTTGAAAACACCAAAAACCACCTCAGAACCCCAAAAAATCCCCAACCTCCCCTGGCACTCCTCCTTCTGGCGCCGCTCCAAAGATCTCAAGAACTTTTGAGGTGTCCCACCATCCCGAAAATGGCAAAAACCACCCCAAAACCACCAAAAACCACCTCAAAACCACCAAAAACCACCCCAGGACCCCAAAACACCTCCAAAAACCCCCCGACCTGTCCTGGCACTCCTCCTTCTGGTGGCGCTCGAGCAGCGAGCGGGGGAACTGGCGGGCGCAGAAGCCGCACTCGGCGGGCAGCTCGCTGACCGCCTTCTCCACGGCCACATCCCACCAGCTCCAAACCAGCCCAAAACCTCCAGAAAATCCACAAAAATCCACAAGAAATCCCAAAAGTCACATCCAGCACCATTGCCATCCATCACCTGCTCTCCCACTGCTTCTGGTGCTGCTCTAAGGAAGATCTCGGAACCTTTCAGGTGTCCCACCATCCCGAAAACGCCAAAAACCAGCCCAAAACAGGCAAAACCCACCTCAAAACCACCAAAAACCACCCCAGGACCCCAAAATTTCCCCGACCTCTCCTGGCACTCCTTCTCATCATCCTCTAAGAAAGATCTCAAGAACTTTCAGCTGTCCCACCACCTCAAAACCACCTCAAAACACCCCAAAACCACCAAAAACCACCTCGAAACCACCAAAAACCACCCCAGAACCCCAAAATATTTCCAAAAACTCCCAAAAAAACCCCGACCTGTCCTGGCACTCCTCTTTCTGGTGGCGCTCCAAAGATCTCAAGAACTTTGAGGTGTCCCACCATCCCAAAACCACCTCAAAACACCTCAAAACCACCAAAAACCACCCCAGGACCCCAAAACACCTCCAAAAACTCCCCAACCTGTCCTGGCACTCCTCCTTCTGGTGCCACTCCAAAGATCTCAAGAACTTTTGAGGTGTCCCACCATCCCGAAAATGGCAAAAACCACCTTGAAAACACCAAAAACCACCTCAGAACCCCAAAAAATCCCCAACCTCCCCTGGCACTCCTCCTTCTGGCGCCGCTCCAAAGATCTCAAGAACTTTTGAGGTGTCCCACCATCCCGAAAATGGCAAAAACCACCCCTAAACCACCAAAAACCACCTTGAATCCACCAAAAACCACCCCAGGACCCCAAAACACCTCCAAAAACCCCCCGACCTGTCCTGGCACTCCTCCTTCTGGTGGCGCTCGAGCAGCGAGCGGGGGAACTGGCGGGCGCAGAAGCCGCACTCGGCCGGCAGCTCGCTGACCGCCTTCTCCACGGCCAGGTTGCGGCAGCAGAGGCTCTTGGAGATCTCGCAGCGGCAGTTGGGGCACGTGGCCTGCTCCTCCTTGAGGCGCGAGTCGGCCAGCAGGTGGATGAAGCAGCCGGCGCACATCAGGTGCCCGTTGGTGCACTGCGGTGGGGAGTGGGATTTGGGACTCGATGTCTGCTTTATTGATCACAGTTTGGTCCTGCTATTGATCCCAAATATTCCCAATCTTTCCTCATTTTTTCCCTTTATTGATCACAGTTTGGTCCTGCTATTGATCCCAAATATTCCCAATCTTTCCTCATTTTTTCCCTTTATTGATCACAGTTTGGTCCTGCTATTGATCCCAAATATTCCCAATCTTTCCTCATTTTTTCCCTTTATTGATC